CCCCTGGCCACGGTGCTGTGCAGCCTGCTCTGGGTGACCCTGCTTGGGCAGGGGGTTGGGCTGGGTGACCCACAGAGGTCCCTTCCAACCCCTACCAGTCTGGGATTCTGTGATTCCGTGACAAATGGACAAGATGCCTTCTCTCCCCCATGGGTGATACTCCCAGATGCCTTTCTGAGGGACTTGTGTGGACTAATGGGAGTTTCTTCTTTTAAAAAAAAAACTTTTTCCTCCTTTCTGGATGGCTCCAGAGTGGGCATTTCCCTGCTTGGGCATTTTGCATCCCTGCTTGGCTGTCCCCGTCCCTCTGCGTGCTCACCCTGCGGGCTGCCGCCCTGCACCGTCCGGTCACATCCACACTTGTCCAGCTCACCGCTGCTGCAGGCTCGGGTCACTGCGAAGGCCACCCCTGCCGAAGAGATGGCATAGACGAATGCTGCCTCCCGTGTCCCTGCAACAGCACAAACGACGGTGGGAAACGGGGCAGCAAGTCGATGGCAAGCGAGAGGGCTTTCTGGAGGGGATGCCCTTGGTGGGCTTTTGTGTGTGTGTCCCTGCTCCTCGTCCCTCCTAACGCTGGTGTTGCACATAAACCCCCTTGAAAAACTGGTCTGAAAGCTGGCTCTCGGCAAAGCATGCTCTGCAGAGCGATCAAGTCAAGCCCTTGGTCCATCTCTTCACCCCAAGATGGGGTACCCCATGCAGCACACTCATCCTCCCCACTCCCAGGGCTGCTGCTTGCTTGGTGCCAAGCCCAGACCAGTCTCAGCAGAGACACGTCGGCGCTGGGAGACCGTTTGCAGCAGTGAGAGGCCTGTCTCACAGTACTGAAGGAGCTGGGAACTGCCCCACAAGGTTAAAAGCATGAATGCAATGGGCAAATTCTAACCTGGCCATGAGGGAGATGCAAAGGCTGCATTGCCGATGTGGGGAGAGCTCTCCACAGCTTATATGGAGAGAACATCTTGCCTGGTCCTTGCAGGGCACCTCTGCCATGAAATCCCTCCTGCATGCAAAGTAGTTGGCTGCTTTCCACGTCCAGGAACATCCCCTGCAGCGGCAGATCCTTGCCATCCTCTGACATGGGGTCCTGTAGATCCCAGCACCTCCCAAACTACCCTGCGAAACCCCACCTCGCCTTGCAAAACCAGGCTGGTCCCCAGGGTGCAGCCCCTTCCCAGCTCTCGCGTCGATCTCTGTGGTGCCGCACGGTTAGGAAGAGCTTGTTTGGGAAGTCAGGGGACATCCCTGGGCACAAACACACAGGGTGGCGTGGCCAGGGATCAGCTCTTGCAACACCCGAATCCCCACCGTCCCCGAGGCCGGCTGAGGACACGGCCCCTCCGTCTCCGAGCAAGGCGGGCTGGCACTGGGGGATGTCCCGTGCTGGGGGTAGAGGCGGGGGGGGACGGCTTGCTCGCTGGTCAGGCAGAGGGCAGCTACTTTGGTGGTCGCAGCCCAGACTTTGGTGGCCCAGCTGTGATCTGGGCCAGGCGGCAGTGGCTGTGGAGGACCCAGGAGCCCGGGGGGAGGCTTTGGTCTCTGGGTCCTGGGGTGAGAAGTGAGAGGGTGCATCAGAGATGGCAGCAGCACCTGTGGGGAGCCAAGGGCCGCTTTGGTGGTCTCCAGGGGTTGCAGAGGGGCTTTCCCCTCCATCTCCTCACCCTGATGTTCTGGGTCCTTGCTTGGTTTGATCACAGCCCTGTGCCTCCGGGATGCCTGCGTGCAGCTGGGGTCAGAGGGGTGGCTGGCTGCCCTGGCCATAAACC